AGTTTTCTTTTGTTCCCCCCTCAAAACTCCACGTTTTTGGTATTTCCCCCCTCCCCCCACCAAAATACAAGCGTTTTGGTTGCTTCTTTTTCCCAAAACCTTCACATTTTGGTTTTTTACCCCAAAATTGATATTTTTGGGTTGTTTTTCAAACTTTCAGGTTCTTGTTTCCTACTATTTAAGGTCTTTTGTGAGGTTTTCCCCCCAAACTTGAAGGTTTTGGGGTCTTTTTCCCCCAATTCTTAAGGATTTGTTTGGTTTTTCCCCAAAAATCTTTGGTATTTTGGTGTTGAGGGAATTTTGGTTTTTCTTTTCCTACAAAAATGAGGGGTTATTTTTTTCAATGCCATACTTAGGGATATTTTGTGGTTTTGTTTTAACAAAAATGAATTTTTTTTTTAATCCCAAATTGAGGGAATTTTTTGTGGTTTAACAAAAAGGAGGGATTTTTTTCAATTCCAAATTTAGGAAGATTTTGTTTTTCTCTTTAAAAAACGAAATTTTATTTTCATCCCAAATGGAAGGAATTTTTGTGTTTTATTTTAACAAAAAAAAGATTTTTTTTTAATCCAAAATTGAGCGAATTTTTGTGATTTTTTTTAACAAAAGTGCGGGGGGGGGGTGTTCAATGCCAAATTTAGGGAATTTTTGTGCTTTTTGCAAAAAAAAAGGGAGAGAGGGGCTTTCAATTGATGGGGTTTGTTTCAATTTCAGTTTTAGCAAAATGGGGGAGGGGTGTTGAGTGGGGGAGGGGCGGCTTTGCCAGAGCGGAAAATTGGGGAATTGGGGATGGGATAGGGAAAAAAATAGGAAAAAACAAAAAAAAAAAATTGGGGTTTTGTTTCCTTGTTTTTTTTTTTTTGGTTTGGTTTTGGGGTTTTTTGGTTGGTTTGGGTTTGGTTTTTCGTTGTTCCATTTTGTTTTTCTTTTTATTTTTGGTTTTGTTTTTTTTTGGTGGATTTTTTCTGATTTTTTTTGTTTTGGGGGTTTTGTTGGATTTTGGTTTTTTTTCACAATTTCTTCTGGGGCTTTTTTGGTTTTTTGGTTTTTGTTTTTTTCTGTGGGTTTTTCCGGTTTTCTTTTGGTTTTTGCTTTTTGGGAATTTTTTGTGGGTTTTTGCTTTTTTTTTAATTTTGTTTTAGGGCTTTTTTGGTTTTGCTTTTGGCTTTTTTTGTGTTTTTTTCTGGCTTTGTTTGTTTTTGTGGTTTTTTTTTGTTTTTCATTTTCTGTTGGGGCCTTTTTTGTTTTGGGGTTGTTTTTTTAGTGGCTTTTTCTTTTTTTTGTTTTTTTGTTTTTGTTTTGGGGGGTTGGGGTTATTTTTGTTTCATTTCTTTTGCGGCTTTTTTGTTTTTTGGTGGTTTTTGTCCGTTTTGGGATTTTTTTTTTTTTGTTTCATTCTGTTTTGGCCTTTTTTTGTTTTTTGTTTTGTTTTATTTGTGGGTTTTTCTCTTCTTTTGTTGTTTTTGGTTTAGTGGGATTTTTGTTTTTTTCGTTTCATTTTTTTGGGGGGCTTTTTTGGGGGGTGGGGTTATTTTTCTGTTTTCTTAAATTTCTTTTTAACTTTTGGTTTGTTTTTTTGTGGGTTCTTTGTCTTTTTTTTGTTTCATTTTGTTTCGGTGCTTTTTTGGTTTTGTTTTTTGTGTTTTTTTTTGGTTTTGTTTGATTTTTGTTTCTTTTTGGTTGCTTTTTTTGGTTGTTTTTATTTTGTTTATGCTTTTTTTGTGTTTTTTTTTGTTTTGGGTATTTTTTGTTCTTTTTTTGTGGTTTATTTGTTTTTTTTTCTTGTTTTTTGCTTTTTGTTAGTTTCCCTTGTTTATTTTTTTATTCTTCTTCTTATTATTATTTAATTCTTTCAGTGTTTTTACCAAAACTTTGGGGTTTTTGGTGGGTTTTGGGTTTCAGCTTTTGGTGGGGGTTTTGGTGTTGGATTTTTTGGGTTGTTTTTTGGGGTTTGATTTTTTGGTTTTCTTTTTGCCTTTTTTTTGTTGTTTGTTTGCTTTTGTTTTTTTTGGTTTTGGGTTTTTTTTGTTCTTTCCTCCATTTTTCCCCTTTCCTTTCCTTTTTAAGACCAAATTGGAGATTTTGGGGTCTTCTTTTGTCCCTTTTTGTTGTTTTTTTTCCCCAAACCTCGCTTCATTCACCCAATTTCTTTTTTATTTTTTCCCCTTGCTTTCACCCATTGGAGGTTTCCTTCCCACCAAAAAAAGCGACTTTTTTGTTGGGTTTTAACCAAAATTTGTGGGGTTTTCTTGCTCCTTGTACCAAAATTTGAGGTTTTCTTCCTTTTTTAGCCCAAACTTGGTTTTTTTTGGTTGATTTTACCCCAAATTGGAGATTTGGGGGGGCATTTTTAGGGGGTTTCAGGCTGTTTTGGAGGGGGTCCAGGGCACTGGGGAGCAATAGAGGCTACTGGGGAGCTACTGGTTTATACTGGGGAGCTACTGGTTTATACTGGGGAGCTACTGGTTTATATTGGGGAGCACTGGGGAGCAGTGGGGGCTACTGGGGAGCTACTGGTTTATAGTGGGGAGCTACTGGTTTATATTGGGGAGCACTGGGGAGCACTACTGGGGAGCTACTGGTTTATACTGGGAGTTACTGGGGAACAATGGAGTCTACTGGGGAGCTACTGGTTTATACTGGGAGGTAATGGGGAGCAATGGAGGCTACTGGAGAGCTACTGGTTTATACTGGGGAGTTACTGGGGAACAATGGAGCCTACTGGGGAGCTACTGGTTTATACTGGGGGGCACTGGGAGCCAATAGAGGCTCCTGCGGAGCTACTGGTTTATACTGGGAGGCAATGGGGAGCAATGGAATCTACTGGGGAGCTACTGGTTTATACTGGGGAGCAATGGAGGCTACTGGTGAGCTACTGGTTTATACTGGGAGGTAATGGGGAGCAATGGAGCCTACTGGGGAGCTACTGGTTTGTACTGGTGGGCAATGGAGGCTATTGGGGAGCTACTGATTTATACTGGGGGCACTGGGAGCTAATAGGAGGCTACTGGGGAGCTACTGGTTTATACTGGGGGGCACTGGGGAACAATGGAGCCTACTGGGGAGCTACTGGTTTATACTGGGGGGCACTGGGAGCCAATAGAGGCTCCTGCGGAGCTACTGGTTTATACTGGGAGGCAATGGGGAGCAATGGAATCTACTGGGGAGCTACTGGTTTATACTGGGGAGCAATGGAGGCTACTGGTGAGCTACTGGTTTATACTGGGAGGTAATGGGGAGCAATGGAGCCTACTGGGGAGCTACTGGTTTATACTGGTGGGCAATGGAGGCTATTGGGGAGCTACTGATTTATACTGGGGGCACTGGGAGCTAATAGGAGGCTACTGGGGAGCTACTGGTTTATACTGGGGGGCACTGGGGAACAATGGAGCCTACTGGGGAGCTACTGGTTTATACTGGTGGGAACTGGGGAACAATGGGAGCTACTGGGGAGCTACTGGTTTATACTGGTGGGCAATGGAGGCTACTGGGGAGCTACTGGTTTATACTGGGGGGCACTGGGAGCCAATAGAGGCTCCTGCGGAGCTACTGGTTTATACTGGGAGGCAATGGGGAGCAATGGAGGCTACTGGTGAGCTGCTGGTTTATACTGGGAGGTAATGGGGAGCAATGGAGCCTACTGGGGAGCTACTGGTTTATACTGGTGGGCAATGGAGGCTATTGGGGAGCTACTGATTTATACTGGGGGCACTGGGAGCCAATAGGAAGCTACTGGGGAGCTACTGGTTTATACTGGGGGGCACTGGGGAACAATGGAGCCTACTGGGGAGCTACTGGTTTGTACTGGGAGGTAATGGGGAGCAATGGAGCCTACTGGGGAGCTACTGGTTTATACTGGTGGGCAATGGAGGCTATAGAGGAGCTACTGGTTTATACTGGGGGGCACTGGAAGCCAATAGGAGGCTACTGGGGAGCTACTGGTTTATACTGGGAGGTAATGGGGAGCAATGGAGCCTACTGGGGAGCTACTGGTTTATACTGGTGGGCAATGGAGGCTATTGGGGAGCTACTGATTTATACTGGGGGCACTGGGAGCCAATAGGAGGCTACTGGGGAGCTACTGGTTTATACTGGGGGGCACTGGGGAACAATGGAGCCTACTGGGGAGCTACTGGTTTGTACTGGGAGGTAATGGGGAGCAATGGAGCCTACTGGGGAGCTACTGGTTTATACTGGTGGGCAATGGAGGCTATAGAGGAGCTACTGGTTTATACTGGGGGGCACTGGGAGCCAATAGGAGGCTACTGGGGAGCTACTGGTTTATACTGGGAGTCAATGGGTAGCAATGGAGTGTACTGGGGAGCTACTGGTTCATACTGGGGAGCACTGGAGGCTATTGGGGAGGTACTGATTTATACTGGGGGCACTGGGAGCCAATAGGAGGCTACTGGGGAGCTACTGGTTTATACTGGTGGGAACTGGGGAGCAATGGGAGCTACTGGGGAGCTACTGGTTTATACTGGTTTATACTGGGGAACAATGGGGGCTACTGGGAAGCTACTGGTTTATACTGGGGAGCACTGGGGAGCAATGGAGGCTACTGGGGAGCTACTGGTTTATGCTGGGGGGCAATGGAGGCTATAGGGGAGCACACGGCGCCACCAGCAGGGGGCGACATCTCCTCGCCACACCTCCCAGCATGCCTTGCGGCACCCCCCCTCTGTCTTCCGCCACACCTCCTAGCATGCCTTGCGGCAGACACCCCCCTTCTGCCACACCTCCCAGCATGCCTTGCGGCACCCCTCTGTCTTCCGCCACACCTCCCAGCATGCCTTGCGGCAGCCACATTCCCGGCACACCTCCCAGCATGCCTTGCGACAGCCCAATCTCTATTCCGCCACGCCTCCCAGCATGCCTTGCGATAGCCCCTCTGGTTTCCACCACACCTCCCAGCATACCTAGCGGCAGACACCCCCCCTTTTCCGCCACGCCTCCCAGCATGCCTTGCGGTAGACCCCTTTTCCACCACACCTCCCAGCATGCCTTACGGCAGGCCGCCTTTCCGGCACACCTCCCAGCATGCCTTGCGACAGATTACGGTTTTTTTCCGCCACACCTCCCAGCATGCCTTGCGGCAGCCCCCTCTCTTTTCCCCCACACCTCCCGTCATGCCCCGCGGCCGGGCGGGTCTATGGAGCCCCGCACTGTCCAATAGGAGCGCCCACCTCCCCTTCTTCCTGACGTGGATTGGTGCAGAGCGCTGGCCAATGGGAGCGCGGAGGAGCCGAGCGGGGGCCAATGGGGGCGGAGGGGCGGGGCAAAGCGGCGAGTGGCGGCAACGGCGGAGGAGGATGGACGCGGAGCGGGAGATCCGACGTGAGTGCGGCCTGCACCGGGCTCTATGGGGCTCTATGGGGCTCTGTGGGGCTCTATGGGGCTCTATGGGGCTCTATGGGGCTCAATGAGGGTCTATGGGGCTCAACAGCGCCCGGCCTCTCGTAACTGGGCTAAACTGGGCCTTAACGGAGCGTCCGCGGCCTGTACCGGGCCTTCACTGGGCCCTAACGGGGGTTACGGAGCCTCCGTCGGCCTGGACGGGGTTGAACCGGGCTCACCCGGTGCTTAAACGGGCTGAAAGGGCCTCAACGGGGGCTTAATGGGGGTAAATCAGGCCCTAAGGGGGCTTAAAGGGCATTAATGGGGGTAAATCAGGCCCTAGGTGAGCTTAAAGGGCATTAATGGGGGTAAATCAGGCCCTGAGTGGGCTTAAAGTGCATTAATGGGGGTAAATCAGGCCCTAAGTGAGCTTAAAGGGCATTAATGGGGGTAAATCAGGCCCTAAGTGGGCTTAAAGGGCATTAATGGGGGTAAATCAGACCCTGAGTGGGCTTAAAGGGCATTAATGGGGGTAAATCAGGCCCTAAATGGGCTTAAAGGGCATTAATGGGGGTAAATCAGGCCCTAAATGAGCTTAAAGGGCATTAATGGGGATAAATCAGGCCCTGAGTGGGCTTAAAGGGCATTAATGGGGGTAAATCAGGCCCTGAGTGGGTTTAAAGGGCATTAATGGGGGTAAATCAGGCCCTGAGTGGGCTTAAAGGGCATTAATGGGGGTAAATCAGGCCCTGAGTGGGTTTAAAGGGCATTAATGGGGGTAAATCAGGCCCTGAGTGGGTTTAAAGGGCATTAATGGGGGTAAATCAGGCCCTGAGTGGGCTTAAAGGGCATTAATGGGGGTAAGTCAGGCCCTGAGTGGGTTTAAAGGGCATTAATGGGGGTAAATCAGGCCCTGAGTGGGTTTAAAGGGCATTAATGGGGGTAAATCAGGCCCTAAATGGGCTTAAAGGGCATTAATGGGGGTAAATCAGGCCCTAAATGAGCTTAAAGGGCATTAATGGGGGTAAATCAGGCCCTGAGTGGGCTTAAAGGGCATTAATGGGGGTAAATCAGGCCCTGAGTGGGTTTAAAGGGCATTAATGGGGGTAAATCAGGCCCTGAGTGGGCTTAAAGGGCATTAATGGGGGTAAATCAGGCCCTGAGTGGGCTTAAAGGGCATTAATGGGGGTAAATCAGGCCCTGAGTGGGTTTAAAGGGCATTAATGGGGGTAAATCAGGCCCTGAGTGGGCTTAAAGGGCATTAATGGGGGTAAATCAGGGTTTAATGGGGCTTAACCAGGTCCTAACTGGGCTAAACTGGTTTTAACTGGTGTGTGTGGGGCCTCATTCCCATCTTAAACCCCCAATTGAGGTTCCACTGAGCCCCCACCCTTTAGACACCATTGGTCCCCCCCATATATGGGGTGCCCCCCATGGGTACTCCACCCCTTTAGACCCCATTGGGGTCCCTCCCCATTTATGGGGTGCCCCCCCTTTAGACCCCATTGGGCCCCCCCCTCCATTTATGGGGTGTCCCCCATGGGTCCTCTCCCCTTAGACCCCATTTGGCCATGCCCCTCCATTTATGGGGTATCCCCCATTGGAGCCCCCCCTTTGACCCCATTGGGGTCCTCCCCATTTATAGGGTGTCCCCCATTCGAGCCCCCCCTGTTTGACCCCATACGGTGCCCCTGCATTTATGGGGTGTCATCCCCCCCATTTACACCCCATAGGGGTCCCCCGACCCATTTATGGGGTGTCCCCCATGGTTCCCCCCCCTTTACACCCCATTGGGGTCCCCCCACCCATTTATGGGGTATCCCCCATTGGAGCCCCCCCTTTGACCCCATTGGGGCCCCCCCACCCATTTATGGGGTGTCTCCCATGGGTGCCCTCCCCCCCCCTTTAGACCCCATTAGGGTCCCTCCCCATTTATGGGGTACCCCAACCTTTAGACCCCATTGGGGTCCCCCACCCCCATTTAAGGGCTGTTCCCCATAGATGTCCCCCCTTTACCCCCACTGAGGCCACCCCCCCATTTATGGGGTGTTGTTCCCCCACCTTTTGACCCCATTGGGACCCCCCCACCCCATTTATGGGATATCCCCCATGGGTGCCCCCCCATTAGACCCCATAGGGGTCCCCTCCCCATCTATGGGGTGCCCCCCATGGGTCCCCCCCCTCTTTTCCCCCCTTAGAGCTGCAGAAGGCCAAGGCCAAGGCCCAGCGCGGCGGCCACGCGGTGGAGGAGGCTGCGCTCTGCAACCAACTGGGAGAGATCCTGGCCAGCCACGGTGAGCGGGATAACGGCACCGGGATGCGGGGATAACGGCACCGGGATAGCGGGATAGCGGCACCGGGATACGGGGATAACGGCACCGGGATGCGGGGATAACGGGACCGGGATACGGGGATAACGGCACCGAGATAGCGGGATAACGGCACCGGGATAGCGGGATAGCGGCACCGGGATGCGGGGATAACGGGACTGGAATGCAGGGATAACGGGACCGGGTTGCGGGGATAACGGCACCGGGATAGCGGGATAACGGGCCCGGGATGCAGGGATAATGGCACCGGGATAGCGGGATAACGGCACCGGAATGCAGGGATAACGGCACCGGGATACAGGGATAACGGGACCAGGATAGCGGGATAACGGCACTGGGATGCGGGGATAAGGGGACCGGGATAGCGGGATAACGGCACCGGGATAGGGGGATAACGGCACCGGGATGCGGGGATAACGGGACCGGGATAGCGGCACCGGGATGCAGGGATAGCGGGATAACGGGACCGGGATGCGGGGAGAACGGCACCAGGATGCAGGAATAACAGCGCCGGGATGTGGGGATAATGGGACCGGGGTAGTGGCACCGGGATGCGGGGATAACGGCACCGGGATAGGGGGATAACGGCACCGGGATGCAGGGATAACGGCACCGGGATAGCGGGATAACGGCACTGGGATGCAGGGATAACGGCACCGGGATAGCGGGATAACGGGACCGGGATAGCGGGATAACGGGACCGGGATAGCGGGATAACGGCACCGGGATAGCGGGATAACGGGACCGGGATAGCGGGATAACGGGACCGGGATACAGGGATAACGGCACCGGGATAACGGGACCGGGATGCGGGGATAACGGCACCGGGATACGGGGATAACGGCACCAGGATAGCGGGATAGCGGGACCGGGATGCGGGGATAACGGGACCAGGATACGGGGATAATGGCACCGGGATACGGGGATAACGGCACCGGGATACAGGGATAACGGCACCGGGATGTGGGGATAACGGCGCGGGGATAATGGCACCGGGATGCGGGGATAACAGGACCGGGATAGTGGGATAACAGCGACTGTGATACAGGGATAACAGTAATCAGGATGCAAGGATAACATCCGGGATACAGGGATAAGGACCAGGTTGCAGGGATAACAGCAACCGGGATGCAGGGATAACGACTGGGATCCAGGGATAACAACAGGGATAACAGGCGGGATCCAGGGATAACAACAGGGATAACAACTGGGACCCAGGGATAACAACTGGGATCCAGGGATAACAACCGGGATCCAGGGATAACAACCGGGAACCAGGGATAACAACTGGGATAACAACTGGGATCCAGGGATAACAACTGGGATAACAACCGGGATCCAGGGATAACCGGGATGCAGGGATAACAACAGGGATAACAACTGGGATGCAGGGATAACAACAGGGATAACAGCTGGGATCCAGGGATAGCAACAGGGATAACAGCTGGGATCCAGGGATAACAACAGAGATAACAACCAGGACCCAGGTATAACAACTGGGATGCAGGGATAACAACAGGGATAACAACTGGGATGCAGGGATAACAACAGGGATAACAACCGGGATCCAGGGATAACAACTGGGATCCAGGGATAACGACCCCCGGGATCTATGGATAAGCCCCCCCTCCCCAACCCCACTCTGTGCCATTCCCCCCCCCATAGGCCGCTATGAGGAGGCCCTGGAGGAGCACCGGGAGGAGCTGCGGCTGCTGGAGGGCGCCGGGGACCGCTTGGGCTGCGCCATCGCCCACCGCAAGATCGGCGAGCGCCTGGCGGAGCTGGAGCGGTACGGGGCTGCCCTGCAGGTACCGGAGCATCCGGAGCATCCCCGTGGTGCTGGTACCCACTGCATCCCCGTGGTGCTGGTACCCACTGCATCCCGGTGGCGCTGGTACCCACTGCATCCCCGTGGCGCTGGTACCCACTGCATCCCCGTGGTGCTGGTACCCACTGCATCCCCGTGGTGCTGGTACCCGCTGCATCCCCGTGGCGCTGGTACCCACTGCATCCCCGTGGTGCTGGTACCCACTGCATCCCTGTGGTGCTGGTACCCACTGCATCCTCGTGGTGCTGGTACCCACTGCATCCCTGTGGCGCTGGTACCCACTGCATCCTCGTGGTGCTGGTAGCCACTGCATCCCTGTGGTGCTGGTACCCACTGCATCCCTGTGGTGCTGGTACCCGCTGCATCCCTGTGGTGCTGGTACCCACTGCATCCCTGTGGTGCTGGTACCCACTGCATCCCCGTGGTGCTGGTACCCACTGCATCCTCGTGGTGCTGGTACCCACTGCATCCCCGTGGTGCTGGTACCCACTGCATCCCCGTGGTGCTGGTACCCACTGCATCCCCGTGGTGCTGGTACCCACTGCATCCCCGTGGTGCTGGTACCCACTGCATCCCCGTGGTGCTGGTACCCACTGCATCCCCGTGGCGCTGGTACCCACTGCATCCCCGTGGCGCTGGTACCCACTGCATCCCCGTGGTGCTGGTACCCGCTGCATCCCCGTGGTGCTGGTACCCGCTGCATCCCCGTGGTGCTGGTACCCACTGCATCCCCGTGGCGCTGGTACCCACTGCATCCCTGTGGTGCTGGTACCCACTGCATCCCGGTGGTGCTGGTACCCACTGCATCCCCGTGGTGCTGGTACCCACTGCATCCTCGTGGTGCTGGTACCCACTGCATCCCGGTGGTGCTGGTACCCACTGCATCCCCGTGGTGCTGGTACCCACTGCATCCCGGTGGTGCTGGTACCCACTGCATCCCCGTGGTGCTGGTACCCACTGCATCCCCGTGGTGCTGGTACCCACTGCATCCTCGTGGCGCTGGTACCCACTGCATCCTCGTGGTGCTGGTACCCACTGCATCCCTGTGGTGCTGGTACCCACTGCATCCCCGTGGCGCTGGTACCCACTGCATCCTCGTGGCGCTGGTACCCACTGCATCCCTGTGGTGCTGGTACCCACTGCATCCCCGTGGTGCTGGTACCCACTGCATCCCCGTGGTGCTGGTACCCGCTGCATCCCCGTGGCGCTGGTACCCACTGCATCCCCGTGGTGCTGGTACCCACTGCATCCCTGTGGTGCTGGTACCCACTGCATCCTCGTGGTGCTGGTACCCACTGCATCCCTGTGGCGCTGGTACCCACTGCATCCTCGTGGTGCTGGTAGCCACTGCATCCCTGTGGTGCTGGTACCCACTGCATCCCTGTGGTGCTGGTACCCGCTGCATCCCTGTGGTGCTGGTACCCACTGCATCCCTGTGGTGCTGGTACCCACTGCATCCCCGTGGTGCTGGTACCCACTGCATCCTCGTGGTGCTGGTACCCACTGCATCCCCGTGGTGCTGGTACCCACTGCATCCCCGTGGTGCTGGTACCCACTGCATCCCCGTGGTGCTGGTACCCACTGCATCCCCGTGGTGCTGGTACCCACTGCATCCCCGTGGTGCTGGTACCCACTGCATCCCCGTGGCGCTGGTACCCACTGCATCCCCGTGGCGCTGGTACCCACTGCATCCCCGTGGTGCTGGTACCCGCTGCATCCCCGTGGTGCTGGTACCCGCTGCATCCCCGTGGTGCTGGTACCCACTGCATCCCCGTGGCACTGGTACCCACTGCATCCCTGTGGTGCTGGTACCCACTGCATCCCGGTGGTGCTGGTACCCACTGCATCCCCGTGGTGCTGGTACCCACTGCATCCTCGTGGTGCTGGTACCCACTGCATCCCGGTGGTGCTGGTACCCACTGCATCCCCGTGGTGCTGGTACCCACTGCATCCCGGTGGTGCTGGTACCCACTGCATCCCCGTGGTGCTGGTACCCACTGCATCCCCGTGGTGCTGGTACCCACTGCATCCTCGTGGTGCTGGTACCCACTGCATCCTCGTGGTGCTGGTACCCACTGCATCCCTGTGGTGCTGGTACCCACTGCATCCCCGTGGCGCTGGTACCCACTGCATCCTCGTGGCGCTGGTACCCACTGCATCCCTGTGGTGCTGGTACCCACTGCATCCCCGTGGTGCTGGTACCCACTGCATCCCCGTGGTGCTGGTACCCACTGCATCCCTGTGGTGCTGGTACCCACTGCATCCCCGTGGTGCTGGTACCCACTGCATCCCCGTGGTGCTGGTACCCACTGCATCCTCGTGGTGCTGGTACCCACTGCATCCCCGTGGTGCTGGTACCCACTGCATCCCCGTGGTGCTGGTACCCACTGCATCCTCGTGGTGCTGGTACCCACTGCATCCCCGTGGTGCTGGTACCCACTGCATCCCCGTGGTGCTGGTACCCACTGCATCCCCGTGGTGCTGGTACCCACAGCATCCCCGTGGCGCTGGTACCCACTGCATCCCTGTGGTGCTGGTACCCACTGCATCCCTGTGGTGCTGGTACCCACTGCATCCCCGTGGTGCTGGTACCCACTGCATCCTCGTGGTGCTGGTACCCACTGCATCCCCGTGGTGCTGGTACCCACTGCATCCTCGTGGTGCTGGTACCCACTGCATCCTGCCCTATTCTGCCCCATCCCCATGGTGCTGGTACCCACTGCATCCTGCCCTATTCTGCCCCATCCCCGTGGTGCTGGTACCCACTGCATCCTCGTGGTGCTGGTACCCACTGCATCCCCGTGGTGCTGGTACCCACTGCATCCCCGTGGTGCTGGTACCCACTGCATCCCCGTGGTGCTGGTACCCACAGCATCCCCGTGGCGCTGGTACCCACTGCATCCCTGTGGTGCTGGTACCCACTGCATCCCTGTGGTGCTGGTACCCACTGCATCCCCGTGGTGCTGGTACCCACTGCATCCTCGTGGTGCTGGTACCCACTGCATCCCCGTGGTGCTGGTACCCACTGCATCCTCGTGGTGCTGGTACCCACTGCATCCTGCCCTATTCTGCCCCATCCCCATGGTGCTGGTACCCACTGCATCCTGCCCTATTCTGCCCCATCCCCGTGGTGCTGGTACCCACTGCATCCTCGTGGTGCTGGTACCCACTGCATCCCCGTGGTGCTGGTACCCACTGCATCCCCGTGGTGCTGGTACCCACTGCATCCCCGTGGTGCTGGTACCCACAGCATCCCCGTGGCGCTGGTACCCACTGCATCCCTGTGGTGCTGGTACCCACTGCATCCCTGTGGTGCTGGTACCCACTGCATCCCCGTGGTGCTGGTACCCACTGCATCCTCGTGGTGCTGGTACCCACTGCATCCCCGTGGTGCTGGTACCCACTGCATCCTCGTGGTGCTGGTACCCACTGCATCCTGCCCTATTCTGCCCCATCCCCATGGTGCTGGTACCCACTGCATCCTGCCCTATTCTGCCCCATCCCCATGGTGCTGGTACCCACCGCATCCTTTCCTATTCTGCCCCATATTCATGGTGCTGGTGTCCACTGCATCCTGCCCTATTCGGCCCCATCCCCTTGGTGCTGGTACCCACTGCATCCTGCCCTATTTTGCCCCATCCCCATGGAGCTGGTACCCACTGCATCCTGCTCTGTGCTGGGGCGTCCCCATGGTGCTGGTACCCACTGCATCCTGCCCTATTCTGCCCCATCCCCGTGGCGCTGGTACCCACTGCATCCCTGTGGCGCTGGTACCCACTGCATCCTCGTGGTGCTGGTACCCACTGCAACCCTGTGGTGCTGGTACCCACTGCATCCCCGTGGTGCTGGTACCCACTGCATCCCCGTGGTGCTGGTACCCACAGCATCCCCTTGGTGCTGGTACCCACTGCATCCCCGTGGTGCTGGTACCCACTGCATCCCCTTGGTGCTGGTACCCACTGCATCCCCGTGGTGCTGGTACCCACTGCATCCCTGTGGTGCTGGTACCCACAGTATCCCCGTGACGCTGGTACCCACCGCATCCTGCCCTATTCTGCCCCATCCCCATGGTGCTGGTACCCACTGCATCCTGCCCTATTCTGCCCCATCCCCATGGTGCTGGTACCCACCGCATCCTGCCCTATTCTGCCCCATCCCCATGGTGCTGATACCCACTGCATCCCCGTGGCGCTGGTACCCACTGCATCCTGCCCTGTGCTGGAGCATCCCCATGGTGCTGGTCCCACTGTGTCCTTTCCTATTCTGCCCCATCCCCATGGTGCTGGTACCCACTGCATCCCCGTGGTGCTGGTACCCACTGCGTCCCCGTGGTGCTGGTACCCACTGCATCCCCGTGGTGCTGGTACCCACTGCATCCCTGTGGTGCTGGTACCCACAGCATCCCCGTGACGCTGGTACCCACCGCATCCTGCCCTATTCTGCCCCATCCCCATGGTGCTGGTACCCACTGCATCCTGCCCTATTCTGCCCCATCCCCATGGTGCTGGTACCCACCGCATCCTGCCCTATTCTGCCCCATCCCCATGGTGCTGATACCCACTGCATCCCCGTGGCGCTGGTACCCACTGCATCCTGCCCTGTGCTGGAGCATCCCCATGGTGCTGGTCCCACTGTGTCCTTTCCTATTCTGCCCCATCCCCATGGTGCTGGTACCCACTGCATCCCCATGGCGCTGCATCCTGCCCTGTGATGGGGCATCCCCATGGTGCTGGTACCCACCGCATCCTGCCCTATTCTGCCCCATCCCCATGGCGCTGGTACCCACCGCATCCTGCCCTATTCTGCCCCATCCCCATGGTGCTGGTACCCACTGCATCCTGCCCTATCCTGCCCCATCCCCATGGTGCTGGTACCCACTGCATCCTGCCCTATTCTGCCCCATCGCCACGGTGCTGGTACCCACTGCATCCTGCCCTATCCTGCCCCATCCCCATGGTGCTGGTACCCACCGCATCCTGCCCTGTGCTGCCCCATCCCCATGGTGCTGGTACCCACCGCATCCTGCCCTGTGCTGCCCCATCCCCATGGTGCTGGTTCCACTGCATCCTGCCCTATTCTGCCCCATCCCCATGGTGCTGGTACCCACTGCATCCTGCCCTGTGCTGCCCCATCCCCATGGTGCTGGTACCCACCGCATCCTGCCCTATTCTGCCCCATCGCCACGGTGCTGGTACCCACTGCATCCTGCCCTATTCTGCCCCATCCCCATGGTGCTGGTACCCACCGCATCCTGCCCTGTGCTGGAGCATCCCCATGGTGCTGGTACCCACCGCATCCTGCCCTATTCTGCCCCATCCCCATGGTGCTGGTACCCACCGCATCCTGCCCTATTCTGCCCCATCCCCATGGTGCTGGTACCCACCGCATCCTGCCCTATCCTGCCCCATCCCCATGGTGCTGGTACCCACCGCATCCTGCCCTATTCTGCCCCATCCCCATGGTGCTGGTACCCACCGCATCCTGCCCTATTCCGCCCCATCGCCACGGTGCTGGTACCCACTGCATCCTGCCCTATTCTGCCCCATCCCCATGGTGCTGGTACCCACCGCATCCTGCCCTATTCTGCCCCATCCCCATGGTGCTGGTACCCACCGCATCCTGCCCTATTCTGCCCCATCCCCATGGTGCTGGTACCCACCGCATCCTGCCCTATCTTGCCCCATCCCCACGGTGCTGGTACCCACCGCATCCTGCCCTATCCTGCCCCTTTCCGGTGGCGCTCAGCACCCTTTCCTACCTCTCTTTTCCCAGCACCAAGAGCAGCACCTGGAGCTGGCGCGGGCGCTGGGCGACCACACGGAGCAGCAGCGGGCCTGGGCCACCCTGGGCCGGACCCACATGTTCATAGGGGAGAGCGGCGAGGAGCCGGGGGCGCTGGATGAGGCCCAAAGGGCTTTCCACACCAGTTTGGCCATCGTGGAGGAGAGGCTGGAAGGTGCTGGGGTCTCAGTGTTGAGGGAAGGGGGTGCTGGGTGCTGTGCGCCCATGGGTGCTGAGCCCCGGCGGTGGGTGCAGGATGGGTGCCGCGGAGGGAGGTGCTGGAGATGAAGGCTCGGCTCTTCCTCAACCTGGCGTTGGTGAGCGACTGCCGGAAGGAGCCGGAGCTGAGGGAGCGGTACCTGAGGAGGAGCATCTTCCTGGCGGAGTAGGGAGATGGGATTGGGAATGATGGGATGGGGGTGATGGGATTGGGGTGATGGGATGGGGGGAGATGGGATTGGGAATGATGGGATTGGGAATGATGGGATGGGGGGAGATGGGATTGGGAATGATGGGATTGGGGTGATGGGATTGGGGTGATGGGATTGGGAATGATGGGATGGGGGGAGATGGGATTGGGAATGATGGGATGGGGGGTGATGGGATTGGGGAGATGGGATTGGGAATGATGGGATGGGGGGTGATGGGATTGGGGAGATGGGATTGGGGTGATGGGATGGGGGGAGATGGGATGGAGGTGATGGGATTGGGAATGATGGGGTAGGAGATGATGGGATCTGGAATGGTGGGATTGGGAATGATGGGATGTGGGAATGGGTTTGATGGGATGTGGGAATGGATTTGATGGGATGTGGGAAGGGGTTTGATGGGATGTGGGAATGGATTTGATGGGATGTGGGAAGGGGTTTGATGGGATGTGGGAAGGGATTTGATGGGATGTGGGAATGGATTTGATGGGATGTGGGAAGGGGTTTGATGGGATGTGGGAAGGGATTTGATGGGATGTGGGAATGGATTTGATGGGATGTGGGAATGGATTTGATGGGATGTGGGAACGGATTTGGTGGGATGTGGGAATGGATTTGATGGGATGTGGGAGTGGATTTGATGGGATGTGGGAGTGGATTTGATGGGATGTGGGAAGAGGTTGAGGTGGGATCTGGGAATGATGAGATCTGGAAGCGGGTTGGGGTTAGCCTTAGGTTTACGGTTAAGGTGGGGGGATCCCATGGGTGCTGCTGTACCCATGCAGGCGGTGGGGGTCCCATTGGTGCTGGAGTCCCATGGGTGCTGTGGTCCCATGGGTGATGTGGTCCCATGGGTGCTGTGGTCCCATGGGTGATGTGGTCCCATGGGTGATGTGCTCCCATGGGTGATGTGCTCCCATGGGTGCCATGGTCCCATGGGTGATGTGGTCCCATGGGTGCTGCTGTCCCATGGGTGCCGCTGTCCCCGCAGGCAGGGGGGGCTGCAGGAGGACCTGTACCGGGCGCACTTCAACCGCGGCTCCATCCTGCTGCGGGACGGGGACCACGGCGGGGCCCTGCGGAGCCTGAGCCGCGCTCGGGAGAGCGCCCGGAGCCTGCGGGACCGGGCCCTGGAGAGCGAGAGCTGCGCCAGCTCCGCACGGGTACGGGGACACCCAGCACCCAGCTCCCAGCACCCAACCCAACACCCAACCCAGCGCCCAACACCCAGCACCAACACCCAACACCCAGCGCCCAACACCCAGCACCAACACCCAGCACCCAACACCCAGCACCAACACCCAACACCCAACACCCAGCGCCCAACACCCAGCACCAACACCCAACACCCAGCGCCCAACACCCAGCACCAACACCCAACACCCAGCACCCAACACCCAACCCAGCACCCAACCCAACACCCAACCCAGCGCCCAACACCCAGCACCAACACCCAACACCCAGCGCCCAACACCCAGCGCCCAACACCCAGCACCAACACCCAACACCCAGCACCCAACACCCAGCACCCAACACCCAGCACCCAACACCCAACCCAGCACCCAACCCAACACCCAACCCAGCGCCCAACACCCAGCACCAACACCCAACACCCAGCATCCAACACCCAGCACCCAACACCCAACCCAGCACCCAGCACCCACCCAACACCCAGCACCCAGCACCAACACCCAACACCCAGCACCCAGCACCCAACCCAACACCCAGCACCCAACACCCAGCACCCAGCACCCAACACCCAGCACCCAACACCCAACCCAGCGCCCAACACCCAGCACCAACACCCAACACCCAACACCCAACCCAGCACCCAACACCCAACCCAGCACCCAACACCCAGCGCCCAACACCCAGCACCAACACCCAACACCCAGCACCCAACCCAACACCCAGCACCCAACACCCAGCACCCAACACCCAGCACCCAACACCCAACCCAGCACCCAACACCCAACCCAGCGCCCAACACCCAGCACCAACACCCAACACCCAGCATCCAACACCCAGCACCCAACACCCAACCCAGCACCCAGCACCCAACCCAACACCCAGCACCCAGCACCAACACCCAGCACCCAGCACCCAACCCAACACCCAGCACCCAACACCCAGCACCCAGCACCCAACACCCAGCACCCAACACCCAACCCAGCGCCCAACACCCAGCACCAACACCCAACACCCAACACCCAACCCAGCACCCAACACCCAACCCAGCACCCAACACCCAGCGCCCAACACCCAGCACCAACACCCAACACCCAGCACCCAACCCAACACCCAGCACCCAACACCCAGCACCCAACACCCAACCCAGCACCCAGCACCCAACACCCAACCCAGCGCCCAACACCCAGCACCAACACCCAAAACCCAGCATCCAGCACCCAGCACCCAACCCAACACCCAGCACCCAGCACCCAACACCCAGCACCAACACCCAGCACCAGCATCCAGCACCAGCACCCAACACCCAGCACCAGCACCCAACCCAACACCCAGCATCCAGCACCAGCACCCAGCACCCAACCCAGCACCAGCACCCAGCACCCAACCCAACACCCAGCATCCAGCACCAGCACCCAACACCCAGCATCCAGCACCCAGCACCCAACCCAGCACCAGCACCCAGCATCCAGCACCCAGCCCAGCCCTGCGTCCCTCATCCCATCCCCCATCCCTGCATCCCCCATCCCATCCCCTGTCCCATCCCTGCATCCCCCATCCCAGCCCTGCATCCCTCATCCCCCATCCCATCCCTGCAGCCCCCATCCCATCCCTTATCCCATCCCTCCCCATCCCATCCCTGCGCCCCATCGCCCCCTTCACCCCTGTTGCCCCCCAGAGCCTCCATAGCCCCATTGTTCCCCATAGCCCCATTGTTCCCCATCACCCCTGTTACCCCCATTGCCACCCCAGCCTCCATCACCCCCCATAGCCCCATTGTTCCCTGTTACCCCCGTTGCCCCCCATAGCCTCCATCACCCCCACAGCCCCATTGTTCTCCATCACCCCTGTTACCCCCATTGCCCCCCATAGCCTCCATCACCCCCCTCACCCCATAGCCTCCATCACACCCCATAGCCCCACTGTTCCCTATTCTCCCCATCACCCCCCTCACCCCATAGCCTCCATCACACCCCATAGCCCCCATCACCTCCATTGCCCCCCATAGCCCCGTTGTTCCCCATCACCCCTGTTACCCCCATTGCCCCCCCAGCCTCCATCACCCCCCATAGCCCCATTGTTCCCTGTTACTCCCATTGCCCCCCATAGCCTCCATCACCCCCACAGCCCCGTTGTTCTCCATCACCCCTGTTACCCCCATTGCCTCCCATAGCCTCCATCACACCCCATAGCCCCACTGTTCCCCATTGCTCCCCATCGTCCCCATCATGCCCCTCACCCCATAGCCTCCATCACACCCCATAGCCCTGTTGTTCCCCATCACCCCCCTCACCCCATAGCCTCCATCACTCCCCATAGCCCCACTGTTCCCCATCACCCCCATAGCCCCCCATAGCCTCCATCACCCCCCATAGCCCCGCTGTTCCCCATCACCCCCATTGCCCCCCATAGCCCCTCTCTCCCCACAGGTGTTCCTGGCCCTGGGGGACTTCGCTGCGGCCCGGCGCTCTCTCCGGCAGGCCCATGCCCTGGGCCCGCGGCAGCCGCGGCACCGGCACCAAGTGCGCGCCGACCTCCGCTACGGTGAGGGGGGGCCCAAGGCCCCAGTGACGTCATCAAGCCCTCAATGATGTCATCAAACCATCAATGATGTCATCAAGCCCCCAATGACGTCCCTAAGCCCTCAATGACATCATCAAACCCTCAATGATGTCATCAAGCCCCCAATGATGTCATCAAGCCCCCAATGACATCCCCAAGGCCCTAAAGACTCCCCAAGGCCCCAGTGATGTCCCCAAGCCCTCAATGGCGCCCCCAAGGCCTCAGTGACATCATCAAGCCCCCAATGACGTCCCCAACCCCCCAATGATGCCCCCATAGGTTCCAAAGATGTCCCCAAGGCCCCAATGACGTCATCAAGCCCTCAGTGATGTCATCAAACCATCAATGATGTCATCAAACCCCCAATGATGCCCCCAATGACGTCCCCAAGGCCCCAAAGACTCCCCAAGCCCTCAATGACATCATCAAACCCTCAATGACGTCATCAAGCCCCCAATGACATCCCCAAGGCCCCAAAGACTCCCCAAGCCCTCAATGACGCCCCCAAGGCCTCAATGACGTCAAGCCCTCAATGATGTCATCAAGCCCCCAATGACATCCCCAAGGCCCCAGTGACGTCATCACGCCCTCAGTGATGTCATCAAACCATCAATGATGTCATCAAGCCCCCAATGACGTCCCCAAGGCCCCAAAGACTCCCAAGCCCTCAATGACATCATCAAACCCTCAATGATGTCATCAAGCCCTCAATGATGTCATCAAACCATCAATGACGTCATTAAGCCCCCAATGACATCCCCAAGGCCCCAAAGACTCCCCAAACCCTCAATGACGTTGTCAAGCCCCCAATGACGTCATCAAGCCCCCAATGACATCCCCAAGGCCCCAAAGACTCCCCAAGGCCCCAGTGATGTCCCCAAGGCCTCAATGACGCCCCCAAGGCCTCAATGACGTCATCAAGCCCTCAATGATGTCATCAAGCCCCCAATGAAGTCCCCAACCCCCCAGTGACGCCCCCTTAGCCCCCAATGACGCCCCCATAGGTTCCAAAGACCTCCCCTAGGCCCCAGTGACGTCATCAAGCCCTCAGTGACTTCCCCAGGCCTCCAATGACATCATCAAGCTCTCAATGATGTCATCAAGCCCTCAATGACGTTGCCAAGCCCCCATTGACGTCCCCAAGACGCAATGACTTCCCATAGGTCCCAATGACGTCCCCACAGCCCCAATGACATCCCTATAGCCCCCCAATGACATCCCCATAGCCCCCCAATGACATCCCCATAGCCCCAATGACATCCCCATAGCCCCCCAATGACATCCCAATAGCCCCCCAATGACGTCCCCATAGCCCCCCAATGACATCCCCATAGGCCCCCAATGACATCCCCATAGCCCCCAATGACGTCCCCATAGCCCCCAATGATGTCCCTACACCCCCAGTGAAGTCCTCGTAGCCCCCCAATGACGTCCCCACACCCCCAATGACGTCCCCATAGCCCCCCAATGACATCCCCATAGGCCCCAATGACGTCCCCATAGCCCCCAATGACGTCCCCATAGCCCCCAATGACATCCCCACACCCCCAATGACGTCCCCATAGGCCCCAATGACGTCCCCATAGCCCCCACTGACATCCCCATAGCCCCAATGACATCCCCATAGCCCCCACTGACACCCCCCATAGCCCCCAATGACATCCCCATAGCCCCCAATGACCCCCCCCCATAGCCCCCCATGGGTCCCCCCCCTCCATAACCCCATTGCCCCCCCTCCCCCATAGCCCCCAATGGGTCCCTGTCCCCCCCATAACCCCATTGACCCCCTCCCCATAGCCCCCAATGGGTCCCCGTCCCCCCATAACCCCCTTGTCCCCCTCCCCATAGCCCCCAATGGGTCCCCGTCCCCCCCATAACCCCCTTGCCCCCCTCCCGATACCCCCAATGGGTCCCCGTCCCCCCATAACCCCATTGCCTCCCCTCCCCATAGCCCCCAATGGGTCCCCGTCCCCCCCAACCCCATTGCCCCCCCTCCCCATAGCCCCCAATGGGTCCCTGTCCCCCCCCATAACCCCCTTGCCCCCCTCCCCATAGCCCCCCACTGACATCCCCATAGCCCCCAATGGGTCCCCGTCCCCCCCATAACCCCATTGCCTCCCCTCCCCATAGCCCCCAATGGGTCCCTGCCCCCCCCATAACCCCCTTGCCCCCCCTCCCCATAGCCCCCAATGGGTCCCCGTCCCCCCCATAACCCCATAGCCCCCACTGACATCCCCATAGCCCCCAATGGGTCCCCCCCAACCCCATTGCCCCCCCTCCCCATACCCCCAATGGGTCCCTGTCCCCCCCATAACCCCATTGCCCCCCCTCCCCATAGCCCCCAATGGGTCCCCCCCCATAATCCCATTGACCCCCTCCCCATAGCCCCCAATGGGTCCCCGTCCCCCCCCTAACCCCATTGCCCCCTCCCCATAGCCCCCAATGGGTCCCCATCCCCCCCCAACCCCATTGCCCCCCCTCCACATAGCCCCCAATGGGTCCCCGTCCCCCCCCATAACCCCCTTGCCCCCCTCCCCATAGCCCCCCACTGACATCCCCATAGCCCCCAATGGGTCCCCGTCCCCCCCCATAACCCCCTTGCACCCCTCCCCATAGCCCCCCACTGACATCCCCATAGCCCCCTGTGGGTCCCCGTCCCCCCATAACCCCCTTGTCCCCCCTCCCATAGCCCCCAATGGGTCCCCGTCCCCCCATAACCCCCTTGTCCCCCTCCCGATACCCCCCAATGGGTCCCCGTCCCCCCCATAACCCCCTTGTCCCCCTCCCCATAGCCCCCAATGGGTCCCCGTCCCCCCCATAACCCCCTTGCCCCCCTCCCCATAGCCCCCAATGGGTCCCCGTCCCCCCATAACCCCTTGTCCCCCTCCCCATAGCCCCCAATGGGTCCCCGTCCCCCCCATAACCCCCTTGTCCCCCTCCCCATAGCCCCCAATGGGTCCCTGTCCCCCCCATAACCCCCTTGTCCCCCTCCCCATAGCCCCCAATGGGTCCCCGTCCCCCCCATAACCCCCTTGTCCCCCTCCCCATAGCCCCCAATGGGTCCCCGTCCCCCCCCATAACCCCCTTGCCCCCCTCCCCATAGCCCCCAATGGGTCCCCCCCCATAACCCCATTGCCTCCCCTCCCCATAGCCCCCAATGGGTCCCCGTCCCCCCCCATAACCACCCCCTTGCCCCCCTCCCCATAGCCCCCCAATGGGTCCCCGTCCCCCCATAACCCCCTTGTCCCCCTCCCCATAGCCCCCAATGGGTCCCCGTCCCCCCCATAACCCCCTTGTCCCCCTCCCCATAGCCCCCAATGGGTCCCCGTCCCCCCCATAACCCCCTTGCCCCCCTCCCCATAGCCCCCAATGGGTCCCCGTCCCCCCCATAACCCCCTTGCCCCCCTCCCGATACCCCCCAATGGGTCCCTGTCCCCCCCATAACCCCCTTGCCCCCCTCCCCGATACCCCCCAATGGGTCCCCGTCCCCCCCATAACCCCCTTGTCCCCCTCCCCATAGCCCCCAATGGGTCCCCGTCCCCCCCAACCCCCTTGTCCCCCTCCCCATAGCCCCAATGGGTCCCCGTCCCCCCCATAACCCCCTTGTCCCCCTCCCCATAGCCCCCAATGGGTCCCCGTCCCCCCATAACCCCCTTGTCCCCCTCCCCATAGCCCCCAATGGGTCCCCGTCCCCCCATAACCCCCTTGGCCCCCTCCCCATAGCTCCCAATGGGTCCCTGTCCCCCCCATAACCCCCTTGCCCCCCTCCCCATAGCCCCCAATGGGTCCCCGTCCCCCCCATAACCCCCTTGCCCCCCTCCCGATACCCCCCAATGGGTCCCCGTCCCCCCCATAACCCCCTTGTCCCCCTCCCCATAGCCCCCAATGGGTCCCCATCCCCCCCATAACCCCCTTGCCCCCCTCCCCATAGCCCCCAATGGGTCCCCATCCCCCCCATAACCCCATTGCCCCCCTCCCCATTGCCCCCAATGGGTCCCCGTCCCCCCCCATAACCCCCTTGCCCCCCTCCCCATAGCCCCCAATGGGTCCCCCCCATAACCCCATTGCCTCCCCTCCCCATAGCCCCCAATGGGTCCCCGTCCCCCCCCATAACCCCCTTGTCCCCCTCCCCATAGCCACGCGGATGCTGCGGCTGCTGCAGGCGCTCGAGGGGGCCGGGGGGGACGCGGCGGCGGCGCTGCCCCTCTGCGAGCAGCTGGGGGACGCCTGCTCCCGGCGCGGCGACTACGGCAGGGCCCTGGGCTTCTACCAGAGGCAGGTGAGAGGGGGGCGCTCTGGGGCGCTGTGGGGCTCTGTGGGGCTCTATGGGGTTCTATGGGGTGTCTATGGGGCTCTGTCGAGTCTCTATGGTGTCTCTATGGGGGCTCTGTGGGTCTCTATGGGGTCCCTATGGGGCTCTATGGGGCTCTATGGGGCTCTATAGAGTCTCTATGGGGTCTCTGTGGGGCTCTATGGGGCTCTATGGGGTTCTATGGGGCTCTATAGAGTCTCTGTGGGTCTCTATGGGGTCTCTATGGGGCTCTATGGGTCTCTATGGGGTTCTATGGGGCTCTATAGAGTCTCTATGGGGTCTCTATGGGGTCTCTATGGGGCTCTATGGGGTTCTATGGGGCTCTATAGAGTCTCTATGGGGTCTCTATGGGGTCTCTATGGGGCTCTATGGGGTTCTATGGGGCTCTATAGAGTCTCTATGGGGTCTCTATGGGGTCTCTATGGGGCTCTGTGGGGTCTGTATGGGGCTCTATGGGGCTCTATGGGGTTCTATGGGGCTCTATAGAGTCTCTATGGGGTCTCTATGGGGCTCTATGGGGCTCTATGGGGTTCTATGGGGCTCTATAGAGTCTCTATGGGGTCTCTGTGGGTCTCTATGGGGTTCTATGGGGCTCTATAGAGTCTCTATGGGGTCTCTGTGGGTCTCTATGGGGTCTCTATGGGGTTCTATGGGGTTCTATGGGGCTCTATAGAGTCTCTATGGGGTCTCTATGGGGTCTTTATGGGGCTCTATGGGGTTCTATGGGGCTCTATAGAGTCTCTATGGGGTCTCTATGGGGTCTCTATTGGGCTCTTTGGGGTTCTATGGGGCTCTATGGGGCTCTATGGGGTTCTATGGGGCTCTATAGAGTCTCTATGGGGTCTCTATGGGGTCTCTATGGGGCTCTATGGGGTCTGTATGGGGCTCTATGGGGCTCTATGGGGTCCCTATGGGGCTCTGTGGGGCTCTATGGTGTCTCTATGGGCTCTATGGGGTCTGTATGGGGCTCTATGGGGCTCTATGGGGTCCCTATGGGGCTCTGTGGGGCTCTATGGTGTCTCTATGGGGTCCCTATGGGCTCTATGGGGTCCCTATGGGTCTCTGTGGGTCTCTATGGGGGCTCTATGGAGTGTCTATGGGGCTCTGTGGGGTGTCTATGGGGCTCTGTGGGGATCTATGGGGCTCTATGGGGTTCTATGGGGCTCTATAGAGTCTCTATGGGGTCTCTATGGGGTCTCTATTGGGCTCTATGGGGTTCTATGGGGCTCTATAGAGTCTCTATGGGGTCTCTATGGGGCTCTATGTGGTTCTCTGGGGCTCTATAGAGTCTCTATGGGTCTCTATGGGGTCTCTATGGGGCTCTATGGGGTTCTATGGGCTCTATAGAGTCTCTATGGGGTCTCTATGGGGCTCTATGGGGTCTGTATGGGGCTCTATGGGGCTCTATGGGGTCCCTATGGGGCTCTGTGGGGCTCTATGGTGTCTCTATGGGGTCCCTATGGGGCTCTATGGGGTCCCTATGGGTCTCTGTGGGTCTCTATGGGGGCTCTATGGAGTGTCTATGGGGCTCTGTGGGGTGTCTATGGGGCTCTGTGGGGCTCTATGGGGTCTCTATGGGGCTCTATGGGGGCTCTGTGGGGCTCTATGGGGTCTCTATGGGGCTCTGTGTTTCTCTATGGGTCCCTATGTGTCTCTGTGTCCCTATGTATCCCTATGGGTCCCTATGGGTCCCTTTGTGTCCCTATGGGTCCCTATGGGTCCCTATGTGTTCCTATGTGTCCCTATGTATCGCAATGGGTCCCTATGGGTCCCTCTGTGTTCCTATGTGTCTCTATGTGTCCCTATGTGTCCCTATGGGGCTCTATGTATCCCTATGGGTCCCTTTGTGTCCCTATGGGTCCCTATGGGTCCCTATGTGTTCCTATGTGTCCCTATGTATCGCAATGGGTCCCTATGGGTCCCTCTGTGTTCCTATGTGTCTCTATGTGTCTCTATGTGTCCCTATGTGTCTCTATGTGTCCCTATGTGTCCCTATGTGTCCCTATGGGTCCCTATGTGTTCCTATGTGTCCCTATGTGTCTCTATGTGTCCCTATGGGTCCCTATGTGTCTCTCTGTGTCCCTATGTGTCCCTATGTGTCTCTATGTGTCCCTATGTGTCCTATGTGTCCCTATGTGTTCCTATGTGTCCCTATGTGTCTCTATGTGTCCCTATGTGTCTCTATGTGTCCCTATGTGTCCCTATGTATCCCTATGTGTCCCTATGTATCCCTATGTGTCTATGTGTCCCTATGTGTCTCTATGTGTCCCTATGTGTCCCTATGTGTCCCTATGTATCCCTATGTGTCCCTATGTATCCCTATGTGTTCCTATGTGTCCCTATGTGTCTCTATGTTTCCCTATGTGTCCCTATGTGTCCCTATGTATCCCTATGTGTCCCTATGTGTCCCTATTGTGTCCCTATGTGTCCCTATGTATCCCTATGTGTTCCTATGTGTCCCTATGTGTCTCTATGTGTCCCTATGTGTCCCTATGTGTCCCTATGTATCCCTATGTGTCCCTATGTATCCCTATGTGTTCCTATGTGTCCCTATGTGTCCCTATGTGTCCCTATGTGTCCCTATGTATCCTATGTGTCCCTATGTGTCTCTATGTGTCCCTATGTGTCCCTATGTATCCCTATGTGTCCTATGTGTCCCTATGTGTCTCTATGTGTCTCTATGTATCCCTATGTGTCCCTATGTATCCCTATGTGTTCCTATGTGTCTCTTATGTGTCTATGTGTCCTATGTGTCCCTATGTGTCCCTATGTGTCCCTATGTATCCCTATGTGTCCTATGTATCCCTATGTATCCCTATGTGTCCCTATGTGTCCCTATGTGTCCCTATGTGTCCCTATGTGTCCCTATGTGTTCCTATGTGTCTCTATATGTCTCTATGTGTCCCTATGTGTCCCTATGTGTCCCTATGTATCCCTATGTGTCCCTATGTGTCTCTATGTGGCCCTATGTGTCCCCTAAGTATCCCTATGTGTTCCTATGTGTCTCTATATGTCTCTATGTGTCCCTATGTGTCCTATGTGTCCCTATGTGTCCCTATGTATCCCTATGCGTTCCTATGTGTCCCTATGTA